AATCACTTTCACTCCTAGTCTCACTGGGATTTTTCTGCTGCTTGAAGGGTTGGGGAGGGAACTTGAAAATAAGAACGTTCAGAGTCTTGTCTAAGGTCCCACAGGAGTGAGTGATCTCCTGGAGATTTTTTTTTTTTAAGATTTTTTTTTTTATTTATTTGAAAGGCAAAGTTAGAGAATAGGGAGAGATAAAGAGAAAGAGAGAGAGAGAGAGAGAGAGAGAGAGAGAGAGAAAATCTTCCATTACTGGTTCACTCCCCAAATGGCCCCAACAGCCAGGACTGGACCAGGACTGGCTGAAGTGAAGCCAGGAGCCAGGAGCTTCATCCAGGTCTCCCATGTGGGTGCAGGGGCCCAAGAACTTGGACCATCTTCTGCTGCTTTCCCAGGCACATTAGCAGGGAGCTGGATCAGAAGTGGAGCAGCTGGGATTCCAACTCTGTCCACATGGGATGCTGCCACTGCAGGGGCAGCTTTACCCGCTATACCACAGTGCTGACCCCTGCTTGAGACATCTTTTTTTTTTTTTATAATTTTTTTTATTTATTTTTTATTTTTTTGACAGGCAGAGTGGACAGTGAGAGAGAGAGACAGAGAGAAAGGTCTTCCTTTTGCCGTTGGTTCACCCTCCAATGGCCGCCGCGGCCGGCGCGCTGCGGCCGGCGCACCGCGCTGATCCGATGGCAGGAGCCAGGAGCCAGGTGCTTTTCCTGGTCTCCCATGGGGTGCAGGGCCCAAGCACCTGGGCCATCCTCCACTACACTCCCTGGCCACAGCAGAGAGCTGGCCTGGAAGAGGGGCAACCGGGACAGAATCCGGCGCCCCAACCGGGACTAGAACCCGGTGTGCCGGCGCCGCTAGGCGGAGGATTAGCCTAGTGAGCCGCGGCGCCGGCCCTGCTTGAGACATCTTAACTCACAGGGTACACACAACTTTGCGGATCCCTTTCTTTATCCTAAGGTTCAGTTGTACAATTCCTGCCTGCATGACCCAGGGAATCACTAAGCCAAAAGCCTCAGTTCCTTATCTATGAAATGAGTGGAATAATACCTGTCCCATGGGGCTACTTGGAAGGTACAGACCCTGGGTTCTGGGGTGCAGTGGGCAAGCCGTGGCTTGGGATGTCTGCGTCCCGTAACTATGAGGGTGCCGGTTCCTGTCCGGGCTATTCCTCCTCGACCCAGGTGCCTGGAAATGCACACCCTGGAAGGTAGCGGGGTTGGCTCACGTGTCTGAGCCCCTGCCACCCGCGTGGGGGACCGGGTGGAGCTCCAGGCTCCTGCCTTCATCAGCTCTGGCTGTTGCAGGCATCTGGAAAGTGAAAGCGTCACTCTGTCTTTCGTATGAACAAACATTTTAAAAAAGAGATCCTGGGTTCCGTGCTACTTTCACGTGCCTTTTTTGGTAATAAGCCAAAAGGTGTATGAGACTTGCTCACTGCTTCAGCGTCAAGTGTCCTGACGAAGCCCCACAGCCTGGCTCCGCGCTCCCTCCCGTAGAATCGCGTGCCAGAGCACTCCTTTTCAGTCCAGACTCCCCGGCGAAGCGACGAGAGGCGGAGCAGGGCACGCCCAGTTTCCGCCTCGGTCGCCACCCACGCCTACGAAATGACCTCCTCAAGATGCCCGCTGGAAGTAGCTTGCCGGAAGCAGAAAAGTGTGGCACCGAAAGATCACTTCCGCTTCCGTCGGCGCAAGCGCACTCACTGCTTCTGCTACCGTGACTAAGATGGAAGCGTTTCTGGAGTCGCGGGCCGGGCTTTGGGCCGGGGGCCCAGCTCCTGGACAGTTTTACCGCATCCCGTCCACTCCTGCTTCCTCCGTGGATCCGGCGTCCGCGCTCTGCGGGAGTCCGATCGCGCGGACCCAGTAAGTCCTCGGCGCCTTAGCCTGTGTAGGGGAGGGACCGGGGGCCCGGTGCCGCTGGCCGGGTGCGACGGAGCCCGGGGAGGCGAGGCGGGGACCGCGCAGTAGAGTCCCGGAGGAGGCAGAGTAATTGGAAGGACCTAGGGCGCGGGCTCCTTCTCTGCGCTGCGGTCGCCAGACTCTGCACTCCGCAGGAACCCCATGGTTACCGGGACCTCGGTCCTCGGCGTCAAGTTCGATGGCGGGGTGGTGATTGCCGCAGACATGCTGGGCTCCTACGGCTCCTTGGCGCGTTTCCGCAACATCTCTCGAATCATGCGGGTCAACAACAGCACCATGCTGGGTGCCTCCGGAGACTACGCTGATTTCCAGTACTTGAAGCAAGTGCTCGGCCAAATGGTGTAAGTTGAGAGTAGGGAGTAGCTCCCGAGTGGGGGGCGGGGGGCGGGCCGGAGTCGGGCCCGGGGAGAGGTGTTGGGAGTGGAAGGGTCGGGCGCAGTTTTTGCCATTGGGTGGATGGGGGGAGAGGGGTGGCGGTTAGGACTTCCATTCTTCCCCCCTTTCTTTGAAGCATTGATGAGGAGCTGTTGGGAGATGGACACAGCTATAGCCCCAGAGCCATTCACTCGTGGCTGACCAGGGCCATGTACAGCCGCCGCTCCAAGATGAACCCTCTGTGGAACACCATGGTCATCGGCGGCTACGCTGATGGAGAGAGGTTGCGTACACGTACCACTTCCTTGCCCACCCGACCTAGTAGAGCTTGTCTCGCGTCCCTTCCGTCTCTCCTCCCCGAGTGAATCCCACCTTTCACCCAGACCCCGTGGCCCTGTCCTTTAGCTGAGAGCTTTGATTAAATGCTCACTTAAATCGTTGTGTCCTGTTAGCTTCCTCGGTTATGTGGACATGCTTGGTGTGGCCTATGAAGCCCCTTCGCTGGCCACTGGTTATGGTGCATACTTGGCTCAGGTAAGTAGTGGATCTGGAAGTGGGAAAGGGGGAAAGAAGTGGGGAGGGGGAGGGGAGGAGGGAGGAGGAGAGGGGCTGTCTGCCTCTTCCCCTGGAATCCATATGAGCAGCAGCTGCTTGTGTCTGGAGGCTGAAGTGTTGCCACCTGCACTCCAGGGACCAAGGCGGCTCGTCTAGCAGTCAGCAGATTAAGTGCAGAGGGAGGACGCCCTAGGACTTCCCTTCCAGTGCATCTTGCAGCTCCTCAGCCCTTCTTGCTGGCGAGGGAGTCCAATGTTTGGCGCTCCGTCATCCACTTGTTTGCACTGTGGGTTTGAGACAAGCAGCCTGGTGCTCAGTGCCTGATAGCAACCCTCGTGCGTTTCCCCCAATCCAGCCTCTGCTGCGAGAAGTCCTGGAGAAGCAGCCGGTGCTGAGCCAGGCCGAGGCCCGCGAGCTGGTGGAGCGCTGCATGCGAGTGCTGTACTATCGAGACGCCCGTTCTTACAACAGGGTGAGGACGGCTGTGGACAGAAGTGCCGGCCGTCTAAGCGGTGGGCGCTGGGTGGCTGGCATCCTCAGGGGCTCCGCTTTGAGGAGCGCATTGCCTCACTTCCGTGACTGCTATTTAGGGACTGGGGGAGCTGGGGGAAGAGACCCTCTAGTTGACCTTTGACCAGGCTTCAGGGATGGGCATTTTCATTTTATTGGTTATTTTTAAAAGCTGTATTTGAAGAGAAATGGAGGGAGGGGGCAAGAGGGAAACACACACACACACACTCTCTCTCTCTCCCTCCCATCTGCTGGTTCACTCCCCAAATGGCCATGACGGCTGGGGCTGTGCCATACTGAAGCCAGGAGCCTGCAACTCCCCGTGGGTCTCCCACATGGGTAGTAGGGGCCCAAACAATTGGGCCACCTTCTGCCACATTCCCAGGCATGCTAGCAGGAAGTGGAGCAGCTGGGATTTGAACCAGTACTCTGACATAAGTAGTGGCCTAACCTATTTAAGCCACTGTGCTACAACACTGGGCCCCCATTTTCACTGTAAGCTGTGCTTATTTTTCAGTATCAAATTGCCACGGTAACTGAAAAAGGTGTTGAAATCGAGGGACCACTGTCTGCAGAGACCAACTGGGATATTGCCCACATGATCAGGTGAGTGAAAATTAGATGGTAGAAAAGTTGCAAGGCCCCTTGGCCTGTACTGAGCTGAGCCCTTCTGAGGGGCTTAACCAGAAAAACTCCCTGGGTGGTGGGGTTTTGGTTGGAGGGTGGAGCTTTTCTCTCTATACTTCATTATTTTATTATGCTTTCTTCCTTATAGTGGCTTTGAATGAAATACAGATGCAGTATCCAGAACTGAATTTAGACACATTTAACTTTGAACTTGGCCTGGTTCAAAGGTAGACTTTTCTTTTGTAAAATAAACAAATACTTTTAAGTGCTCGCTGAGTGGTTTTGTTCTGACTGGGTCATGGCGAGAGCTGAACTGTCCAGAGTGCTGCCACATGCCACCTCCCTCACCGCGCAGCTCTGCAGCTCTGGTTAGCAGCCACAGAATGCCATGTGTGTCGATACAGAAAACACCTGAGCCTACCAGAGAGGCAGCTGCATGTGGAAGATGATCTCTGCGGGGTAATGTAGCCGGCTTTTGTGTTTAGAAGTTTTTCTTAAACATTTTCTCCTGCTATACTAAATTCTAAACTGCTACAGATTTTCTGGTTAGCGTTTGCTGTCTCAGATACGAATGTAGTGTCTAGTATCGAGCTGCTCTGTGTGAAATTACTTCAACCTGCACCTGACCCATCCAGCCTCACCTTTCATACAGGGAATACTAAGTAAACGTTTCGTGTACATGCATGTTGTGCAAACCTCAATTTCTAGCACTTTAAGAAAACTTATTAGTGTTGTGTGTTCATTAAAAAGTCAGAGTTAGCTATAAGTCCAGTTGGCCATTAGCCATGTTCCATCCCTGAAATGATTTTAAACCTGTCTTAAACATGAACCCTAAGTGATTCTGATGTGTATCTAGTCCAAACCTTCTTGAGAAAGTACAGCAAACTCAAAAACCATTACAGCTATTGAGTCAGGTGAGAACTGACAGAAAGCAAGCCAGCTCTGTGATGGGAAACCTCTAAGTTTAAGTGCATGAAATCTCCACAAATCCAGTCTGAACACAGGACAGTAGTCAATAAATATGTGTTTATTGATTAAACTGAATTATAAAAAACAACAAAACAAAAAAACCTTCCTTCTACTACTAAGCCATGCAGGCAGAGTCCACAAAGACAACTTCCTGGCCAAAACCCAGCTGATCCACTGTTGGTTATTTTTTTAAAAAAACTGCCCATCAACAAAGTCAATCAGTGTGCAGAGGCCAGGAACCCAGCTCTGCTAAGGCTGTGGCTGCTGCAGAGACTACCAGAGGAGGATTAAGTTGCTGTAGATAGATGTGACCGTAGTTCTTGAACTTTCTCCGAGGCAAAGGGTTGACTTGGAAGTCCACAGTCTGTCAGTAAAATGGCATCAGGCAAAAAGCTGGGGATGAGAAGCCCAGATGGACCCTTGGTCGTCTTCAGATGACAAACGCTGGCCGTGCTGCGGGGATGCTCCAGTTCACTATATTATAGTGTACTGGGGGTCAAAAACAAAAACACTGGCAGGAGTGGGCAGAGTGTCAGCCTGCGCCACCGCGCCTGTCCCCTCTCGACATCTCCCAGTCTGTGAAAGCCTACCTTGAACAGGGCTACCTAGAAAAACAAAGCTTATAAATCCATTTCCCCTCATTTTATTAAATGTTCCACTTACGTACATTTAAAGATGAGGCATTTAGAAGCTCCTGCAGCCTGCCTCCTCGGCTCCCAAGAGGGGGATGCTGCTGCCGCCTCAGGACGGACAGGTGCGCGGCGTAGCTGCGGGACAGGGGGCGTGCCGCGCTCCTTTTCTCTGGTGCAGTACATTTTGGTTTGTATCCACGAATACATACAATTCTTTAAAAAAAATCCCTCATGCAAATTGTAGAAAAAATTTTCTTCCCTTGAAGCTGGCAGTGAAAAATATTCATGTCTTTTTCTCCGTGCACACTCCGTGCTGTTTCTCAGGTCAGGTTCTTTAAGTGGTAAGAGAAAAATAGGGGAAGGCCACAGGGTACGCAGAACGTCCACAAGTGGGCTCTCTTTCCTGTGTAGAGTCGACACTTCGCTTTTTATGCAATTAGCTCCTGGCTGTAGGACCTGTCCACGTCCCAGGCTGAAGCTCACCAAGGCCGGTACTGCCCGGGGCTTGCAGGATGAAGGCTCAAACTGGGCATGGCTCGCACCCTAGCATGCGCTCTGATCACCTCAGCACCTCCTGCTCACTAATGATACATGTATGGTCCTTTGTCCAGAGTGATGGAGGGGGCGAGAATGGGGGAAGGGGCGAGTGCAAAGAATACTGCTTTTGTCGGAAGGAGCATGGTGAGGGAAAGACAAATTATTCATCGTTCTGGATGCTCAGAGGTGGTTTCATGCATTTTTTTAAAGCCACAATTTCATATCTAGGGTTGATGTAGAAACCAACATCTCTGGAGAGGGAAGGCAAGAAAAGGAGAAGGAAGAGCGAGAGTTCAGTGGGATTTTTTTTCCATTTTCATTTTTATATAAAAGTGTTAAGACCACAATGAAAAAAGTTTATCCATATATATAATAAACCAGTTTTTGAGCTACATATTTTTGTCTTTCTCATCATCAGAAATGTTCTCACATTGACAATGGTTAGATAGCATCATGCCCAAAGACGTCGGCCACACAGTAAAACAAACAAAAACTCTAGAAGTACTATGATACAATTGAGGTAAGAGGGGAAACAAAACAATTTAACATTCGCCCACAAAGGATTTTTTTGTCTTTTTCTTGATTTTGTCAGAAAAATACCAAACACAGTGATTTAAATTTAAAAAAAAGTCACAAAAACCTGTTTTTAGCAGAACTGAATGACCAATGGGCCAGCTCCTCGGCTCAGACGTGATCACTATTGGTTTTCCTAATAATCCACAAATTCACAGGGAAGTTGTCAGTCAATGTTGGGGAGTGGTGGCATAAAATTAAAAAATATAGACCAAATACCCCACCTGGTATGTCCCCTTTCCCAAGTCCCGCCACCCTCCCTCGCTTTCCCACCCCTACTCCACATGCCTCGTGACCCAGCACTCAAATCTCCATCAGATCGAGGTCAGCTTCTTCAAAGCCATAGAAAGACTCGGTCTCACTCTCGCCCTCAAACAGCTGGTGCAGGCTCTCAGGCTCGACTGTCTCTTGAGGAGAGGCCCTGGGCCGGGGCGTGGAGGCGGACGGCTCCTCGGACTGCTCTCCGCTCAGCTTCAGCTGCTCCTCCAGGGAGGCGATGAGCTCCTCCTGCATGTCTGCGTTTCTCGTGGGGGAGCTGACGTTGCCGTCAGGGCCTGGCAGCACGCTGGCCACCAGGAAGGACCGCTGCACCAGCTCGGGGCAGTCCCCTATGACGCTCAGCACCTCCCCCAGCCAGACCAGCACCAGCTGGAGCAGCACGTCAGAATCACATGCAGTGTCTGCCATTTCCCTAGCCTGTTCCTTCCACTTTTTGTGCAGGAAGTTCTTGACAGTTCGCTTGATGCATACGTCTAGTGGCTGGATTTTGGAGCTACAGCCTGCTGGGACCACCGCAGGCAGAGTGCTGGAGGCACTAAGCATGGCCAGGACCTCCTCCGACAAGTGAGTGCGATGGCAGTCCATCACGAGCATGCCTTTGCTGCGCTGGCAGGCCGTGTGCTTCTGCCACACGCGGGTGGACCACAGCTCCATGATCTCGTCGTCACTGTAGCCACTCTCCTTTGCCTCCAGCAGTATGGAGTCTGGCACGTTAGCAGGCTGGTCCATCTGTCCTCGGTAGAACACCAGGGTGGGGAGGACGGTGCCGTCGGCCAGAATGGCCAGCACGACGTCGCACCAGGGCTCCCCCGTGCCCACCGTCTGCAGGGCGTTCTCCTTCCTGTCGTCGCTGCTCAGCACCTCCGTGTCCAGGAACAGGGAGATCTCATCGATGGCCACGATCATAGACAAGGGCAGGTCTTGGTTGTGGATCTGCCGCTGTACGAACTCTATGAAGAGCCCGGCGTTCTCGGCCACGTCCTTAGGGAGGGTGTGGGCCACGGCCCGCCGGGCGTGCGGAGTCAGGTGGTGTCGCAGCATGAAGCGCACGGCCCACTCGTATGAGATCTTAAACCCCCCCTCCAGAGAACGTCCTATCTTGGTGGCCTTTTGGAACAAGGTCTCCTCATTCACAGGCAGCTGCTGCTCTCGCTGGGTCAGCACCCACTCAGCCAGTTTCTCCTCGGCCTCAAAGCTCAGGTACTTGCCCTCTAGGTTCTCCCCCTGAGAGGCCTGGAAGCGCCGAAGCCAGCGCCGGATACGTCGCTGGGGGTTTCGGAAGTGTTCGGCTGCCTGTTCCGTGTTGCAGCACAGGGCAAACAGTACTACCCGAAGCTTCTTCACAGACAGCTGCTCCTTCTTGCTCACCCCACTGCCACCACCACCTGATGCGGGCTCAGGGTCCTGGGTGCTCGGGCTCCCTTCTTCCTGGTCATCGACATTCAGACATTCGGCCCCCTCTGTGGCCAAGGGTGGGAGGACTAAAGGCTGTGGGTGGGCAGGGGTCTGGGGCGGGGTTGCAGTGGAGGCTGGCGAGGGGAGTGCCTGGGTCACGGGAGGCGGGAGCTCTTCAGGCTCAGCTGGGGCGGCCCCCGCAGATTTCACAGTGGCGGCTTTGTGAGGGGGGAAGGAAGCAGGAGGGTACATGTTCTTCAAGTTCCGGTCATGCACTCGGTCACGAGTCTGGCCATGCCTAAAGGGGCAGGAGCGGGGAGCAAGCAGACGAGAAAGCTCCGTGAAAAAGGGTCCAGGTAGCGGTGGTAATAATGTAAACACACTGCCAAATGGGAAATCATGAAGTGAGAGCTTGTTACCTTGAGTGAGAGAGCCAAGTGAGTCCTACGGAGAAGGAGACAGGGAAACGTTAGCTCAGTGAGGAGAGGAGCCCTCCACAGACGAGTGCTCTGGGCCACCAACGCACACAACATGCTCTCCAGTGACCACCCTTCCCAGGCTCGTGTCAAACACCTGAGGTTAGAGACCGCTTCTCATCAGCGCACCGCGTCCACAGGCCGGGAGCGGGGCCTGACGCCCAGCTGCTGAGGGCCTGTCTCTTGTTCCCCTTGCCTGACTGACCTCAGCCCCGGACTCACCCCGCGGCAGGATGCTGCTGGATCTGTGAGAGGGGTTGAACACCAAATGCTTGGCCATGGCATCTCCCACGGAGGTAACAAAGGTACAAGCAGTGCAGGCCAGCTTGATTCCACTGAGGAAGAGTCAAGAGCACAGTGAGACAGACACAATGGCGTGTCCAGAGCGAAACTTTCTCCTCTCTAATTAAGTCACGTAGCCATGCACCAAAATAATGAAGGGATTTAATGTAAAAACTTGAAAAATTAAGCATACGGGTAAGTTTTTACTTACCTCACGGAATTTTTAAACAAAGCCAAATATTTGGGGCTCTTCCGTGGAACATGATTGCTGAGGAAGATAAAGAAGTGGTCTGAGTTATGGGGTTCGCTGGCTGACTTGACATCACCAGCCAGAGGCAACGCCTTACACAAGAGACAACACCTCCCCAGGCCAGCTTTCCTTTGTACCATGCTTCTGCAACTTCAGTCTGCACATGAATTACCCAAGGATCTAGTCAAACGCACACTCTTAGACTCGACAGGCCTATGGTCGGGTTCAGACTGTGTTCCCAACAAGCTCCCAGCTAACACTGCTGGTCCCTGGTGCACACAGAGGGACCCGACCTCTCACCATGCCAGGAGAGATGGACAAACAGCTACAAAAGTTGAAGGAGGAAAACAGGCTAGGAGGAGAGGGAATGAAGTCAGTTCTATAGAATCTGAACTCCCGAAGAGAAACGCCGGCTTAATCCCAACTTACTTGATCATGTGGTTAGCGTATGCTCGGGAGCAGCAGGTGCTGTAGCGACACAGAGAGCAGTGTACGTAAGTAGGGAAATGATTGGGGAAATCTGGGATCTCAAAACTGCACTCCAGACAAGTCTGCCGGCCCATGACGCTCCTGCAAAAAGAAAAAAAGAAAGAAAAGAAAAGAAAATTCTCATTATTCCCTCAGGGATCCCCAAGTTGTCGCTTATTAAGCAGACCTTGCTGACAGGCTACATGACCGCACTGCTCCCAGCACTAGGCATGCCCACAGGCCCCACCCGCCCAGCACTGAGAAGAAGGCGCTGACATTTTCCTAACAGCTCTCTTCTGGATGTTGCGCTGGACAGGGGGATAAAGGAAGACAGGCAGAGGGTCCGCGGAGGAGGTCAGTGGGGTCGCCTCCTGCAGCGTGCTGGGAGGCGTATCGCTGGAGGACACAGGCACGGTTCGTGGCTGCCCGCGGGAAGCCCGGATGGTCACCTGAGTGTCAAAGGAAGGAACAATCAGATCCCACCCACAACCAGCCGCACAACACCGAAACTCCCGGTCTGCCTAAGAAACCTTGGCAAGCAGTACCTTGGTGCCTGGCTTCAAACCTTCCAGCTGCTTGGGTTTACGGAAGGTTTTATGGTGCTGAAGCTTGTGTTCAATTTTGTCCTTGGCAAAGAGAAACTGCAGCCGGCATTTGTTGCAGTGATAAACATTTCTCTTCTAAAGGGGGAAAAAGACAGAATCCCTTAAAGGCTCCCAATGCATTTTCTTCTAGGAGAAGGCAGGTCAATGCCAACCAATCATCTTCCCAGCTTTCTGCTGATAATGAATACCCAACGTGACAGATCCACAGAGAACCACCAAATGGTTTACCCAAGAACGGAAGACCAGGCTGACTAGTCCGCAAACCCTCTCTTTTTGCCTTGGTTTAAGAATCTGGATGGGTGGCCTAGGCTTTACTGCCATTCCTGCTTTCACTTTTCATGCAGACAGTACCACCTGTTCCTGGACATTAATCTTGTTTTACATAAAAACAATAAATGTACATGGTAAAAAAAGAAAAATCACTTTTTATTCTGTATACTTGTACAACTACTTCGTGTTGTAAGTTTGCCTGCAGCTCTCACAGACCCTTTCCACAGAAACACCCTGTTGTAAGTTTGAGTATTCTGTCTGCACATATAATCATAATGAACGCATTCATATCCAACCACCACCTACCTGTTTTTCTTTTTTTAAAATGCAAATGAGATCCAGCTCCCCCTCCCCCAACACCTCAATACACACAGATGTATCTTCTTCTGAGACCACTCTCAGGATTGTCTGCCTGGTACTGAAGTCCCTCAAAGAGAAGACTCGTGCCTATGATGTTCCTTCCCAGGTTAGCAAGGATCTACAGCCTCAGGCTAAGTCACAAGTGACAGCTGCCAGGTCCCTATTAGGAAATACATTTGTGGGAGATGACCAAGCAGTCACATCTGTGCAGAGGAGAGGGTGAGCATTACGGAAGTGCTTACACGTGGCGTGTGCAAGGCTATGTGCGCATGTGTGTGACCACTAAGCACATGTGCACCTGTCTGGTTCTCCACTTTGTATCCTCTCCTATACACCTTCACTCTCCTCTAGCGGCCCCATTCTTGTAGCATTTTAAAACAAGGTCATATCTATTCCATCTTAAAACACAACAAAACATTCTCCCTTGCTGCTTCCCCTGGACCCACCGGCCTCAGTCCTCCCTTCATAAACAAACTTCTTCAGGTCAACTGTCTGTTTCCTTACCTCTTGCGTACCAGTCCTGCAGAACTGACTTTCCACAGCGACAAGCGGCTCGCTGCTGACTAAGGGCCTGCTGCCAGTCTGCGCCACTCGGCACCTGCCACACCTTTCTCTCCAGAACATTTTCTCCTCAGCCTCGCTGACGCCAGCTTTCCCAGGGCCCTCCCAGGGCCAAGGTGCTGCCCTTTTGGACAGACTTGAGGATGCCTGCTCCTCCTACTCCTGACAAGAAGTGTAAAGCCGTCTGGATTTACAGGCCGATTCTCAGGCATCTGTTCTGGAAGATGACTCTCTCCCAGGCATCACCCATTATCAACCAGAGCTCCGAACACTGACCCTCACCACCTTCCCCCAAAGCTTGCTTTCCCCAGCGTCTTCCACCTCAGCCAACAGCCAGGTGCCCAGAAGAGAACCTCAGGTGCTATCCTCAACCACTCCTTTGCCACCTTCTCCCAACCCGTCTCTGAATGGTAAGTACCATGGATATTCTCATCATGTTTCCCATGGACTCTTTCTTCTTCATTTCAGAAGCTAACAGCCACATTCACCTTTCACCTAAACTACCGAAAAGGTTTTTGGCTGGTCTTGCAACTCCGGTCTTAATTCCCTTGAATCCATTTGCCTTAGTACTGTCAGTATGACAATCTGAATGCATCAATTCAAGAGCTTAAAACCTTTTACTGGCCTCCCGGTGACTCCTTTTCATGGGCTAGCTACAAGACTCTCCACGATCCATCCCTGGCTGACTCCTGACCCGCTGAGCCTCACTCAGCCTCCTGAGCCCCGACACTCCTGCTCGGGGCCCGGACACACTGTCTTCTGTCCTAGCTCATCAGCTCATTTTCACCTCCAGCCTAGTGCATGGCATGTAACTGTAATTTAATACATTTTTATGAACACGTCCATTATCTTCTCTACCAAGACTGTCTGCCTAGTTCCGCCCTGGGCCCAGCATCCATAAATCAACAGATGAGCATGTGGGACTGCCGAGTGCCTGGTACCTGGTGCCTCATGTAATGCTGTTGGAATGCATTGCCATTTTTGAAGACCTTCAGGCAATAAGGGCAGAGCAGATGCCGGGTGTCCTCATGGATCATCCGAAAATGGACATCTACCTCAGAGTAGAGTGAGGAGCGATACTGACACACCTGAGTCACATAAGAGGGAAAATAAGGCTAAGAGTGAAGTGAACAAGTAAGGCCTCAAAAAAGAGGCAGCAACAAAAATTTTAAAATTTGAAAAAAAAAAAAAAAAAAGGTTTCCTAAATGCATAGAAGTCCAATTATTTTTCTGAGTTTGATGGCAGGGCTATATTTGTCAAAGATTTAGCTGTGACTTATGATAAAAATGGGCGATGGGAAAAATCTGAGGATAATCCACATTCTGTAACTAAGAGGGGTAAAGCTGTTTCTGTCTCTGAAAGGCAAGTTCCGGAGATGGACACTGCCTTAGGACATGGCCACATTCCTGGGCTGGGTAAGTATTATACTTGTGGTTATGTCCTTTTATGCTTTTTCCTGCACAGAAAAACGTTTGCTGCTTCATCTGACTCCTCAGAGTTCTTGAGCTGTGTGCATGCAGTGGGGGGTTAGCAATATTCAACCAGTAGATGCTTTGTCTTCAGCCTTGGAGTGAAAGGGCTGAGCCTCGCTGGGGGAAGGCAATACCTGGCAGACATAAGGCATCTCTCCAGGCTTATGAGTATCCTTCATATGCTGGAGAAACAGTGGCTCACTCTCAAACGCCCACTCACAGATCTTGCACTTGGCTGTAAGGAGAAAAATAATCAATAAATCCTCTGGAAATAAGACTAAAGTCCTGTTGGCTCATAAACTTCATTTTCTCTCACTCCCGTTTCTCAACAGTAAGTCACCCTTAGGTTCCTCCTAGTCTTTAAAATGCTTCCATCTTAACCTCTGTATTGCTTGTAACAATTTTATAAGCTCAGACCTTCTTACCAAAGCTCCAGGCTAGACTGTGAGTGACCTACAAGATACTGAAAGCCAGATATGCATCCATCAGCTCTAACTCGCCATCCTCCTGCTCACCTCTACTTCCCTTCTCACTTCCCCATTTCTTCCTGAGTTCAAAACTCAGGTACTGTTGAGGGCTCCAACCTCTGTATTCTGTAACTTTTATTTCAAAATGTACCTAGAAATTGTTATTTCTCTGTTCTTTCATTCAAAAACTTGGCAGAAATCCACACGACTTCTAGTCAGCTGCCTTCCCTTTCTCCTCTCCCCAATGAATCAGCTGCTATTCTTAATACACCATTGCCATATGAATTGTTTTAAAATACTACAAGACTTCATTCCTCTACCAGGACAGTGATTATCCTCTACTCACTAAACACCCACTAAATGAGTACAAATTAAGAATTTGCCCTCAAAAGATAGACAACTACTAACAGAAGTTCTTGCTTTGCTATAAGGACTACAGATTCTTTTTAAGTATTAACAATTCCCAGATAATTATAATTTGAAATTGGCCATTCGTCAACCCTATCAGGATGCAAATTCTAACTTTTTGGCAAAAAACTTTACACTGTTACATATTTTTCTTCCTTTCATTTGATTTTCAAGTTTTGCAAATATAGAAACGTAACCTTAAAGCTTTAAGCATTTGCTGGACAATGTTCAACACCTCCCAAAGATATGTGAAATGGAAATAATTTATTTAAAGTAAAACAAACTTGGGCAGACACTGGGGTACAGGGGGTTAAACTGCCACTTGGGATGCCCACATCCCAGATTGGAGTGCCTAGTTTGAGTCCTGGCTCCTCTAGGTTGTGGATCCAACTTTTTTGCATGACATTTGCGAGAGACACTGGGTGGAGACCCAGATGGAGTTCCTGGCGTTGGCTTTGGCCTACCCTATCCCTGGCTGTTGGAAGCATTTGGGGAGTGAAATAGGGGATGGATCTTTCTCTGTCACTCTTTCAAATAATTAAATCTTAAAAAATTAAAAACAGGGGCCGGTATCCCATATGGGCGCTGGTTCGAGTCCCAGCTGCTCCACTTCTGATCCAACTCCCTGCTAATGGCCTGGGAAAGCAGATGATGGCCCAAGTCTATGGGTCCCCCTACACCCACACGGGAGACCTGGAAGCTCTTGGCTCCTGACTTTGGACCACCCCAGCTCTGACCATTGCAGCCATCTGGGGAGTGAACCAGATGAAGATCTCTCTCTGCCTGCCCCTCTTCCTCTTTCTCTGTAACTCTGCCTTTCAAATAAACAAATATATCTTTAAAAAATAAATACAAAAATAAATTAAAAAATGCAAAAGTCAGGGGTTCTGGGGTGGGTATTTGGTCTAGTGGTTTGGAGTGCCTGGGTTTGATGCGTTACTCCCAATTCCAGTTTCTTGCAGGCAGACTCTGGGAAGCCACTGGTGATGACACAAGGAGTTCCACATGAGAGACCTGGATTGGGTTCCTGGCTGCTGGTTCTGGTCCAGAATAGTTCTGGACATTGTGTGCATTTGGGGAATAACCAGTGGATGGAAACTGTCTGCCTCTTGAATTAAAGAAAAAAAAAGCGCCAGTGGTTCTTCTGGGGTCCAAGGAACAGACCTCAGGGAACCCAGGTATCCTCTGAAATTATTTGCCAAAGAGTCAGTGTGTACTTTCCTAGGAGGAAGGTTCACAGGTTTTATTTACTCTCAAATTGCTCTGTAATACATTTAGAAACAATGCCTAGGGGGAAATAAGGTAAGAAATAAGAAATTCTACCTTGCGGAATGAGGAAAAGCTGTAAGATATGAAACTACTCCAAAAATTTATGGAAAATGTAATTAAAGGTTAAGTTTATTTCAGTGCAAAAAATTTTGAAATCCACACAGGTTTTTCATAATATGCATTTAATCAACTTTTTGAAGACCCCCTCATCTGCATGGATTTCAAAATTCTTTGTGCCAACATAAACTTACCTTTTTTAAAAAAACTTTATTTTTTATCAACTTGAAAGGCAGAGTACAGACAGGGAGAGAAAGACGGAAAGAGAGACCTTTCATCCACTGGCTTACTCTTCCAATGCTCACAAGAGCCAGGCCTGGGCCAAGCGAAGACAGGAACTTCATCTGTCTCCCACACGGGTGACGGAGCCCCGACCACACAATCCACGACATCCTTGACAGATATGCCTCCCACAGTAAGCACCAGCAGAAAGCTCGTGTCAGGAGCCAGGGTCAAAGCCAGGCTCTCAGATATGGGATGTGGGTGTTATAACCAACATCCTCACCACGAGGCCAAATGCCTGACCCTCCACAAACTTTTTGAAATACCTTCATACCTAAGCTGAACCCTCAAAAGAAACGGGTATGCCAGTCGGAGGAGCCAGGAGACGAGAGCAAAGGCATGTGTGTGTGGGAGCTCCTGGCATGTCTGGGAAGCTCTCAGGAACTAGCCTGACAGTATTTTCTCCTCCTCCCACTTTGCAATTCACTTTTAATTTATTTCTTTTCTAGAACACATTTTCTTTTATTTTTTTATTTTTTTTATTTTTTTGACAGGCAGAGTGGACAGTGAGAGAGAGACAGAGAGAAAGGCCTTCCTTTGCCGTTGGTTCACCCTCCAATGGCCGCCACGGCCGGCGCACCGCGCTGATCCGATGGCAGGAGCCAGGTACTTATCCTGGTCTCCCATGGGGTGCAGGGCCCAAGCACTTGGGCCATCCTCCACTGCACTCCCTGGCCACAGCAGAGAGCTAGCCTGGAACAGGGGCAACCGGGACAGAATCCGGCGCCCCGACTGGGACTAGAACCCGGTGTGCCGGCGCCGCAAAGCGGAGGATTAGCCTAGTGAGCCGTGGCGCCAGCTTCTAGAACACATTTAAGCACTTGGTGCTTTCCAACCTTCTGTCTAAGCCTTTCTTATCCAATTTGTTTTTCCCAGGTAATCTCATTCAATCTCAAAAGCTTTTCCTATGACCTATGTAGCAAGCTCTATTGTCATAGCAGTCATACATTATCGATAATAACATCTGTCGTATCTCATTCTAAGAAAGTTAGTGAGATATGATAGCAACCCCTGACACATCAATTCTAAAAGGGAAGGAGCTGGTGTGGAGAAAGATTCAAAACGGAGAATGAACTGAGTCCTCATAGTAGCTCTTCTAACACTGTCCCTCCTCGCACCGTCATCCTCACCTACTTGAAACCTAACAGTCTGCTACTTTGAGAAAACAAGATTAACTACAGCTTCTGTCTCCTGTCCTCTAATTTATGGAAGACTAGTTCCTTTATGTCTATCTGAGTCATCCAACTCTTACTCTATGCGTTCTAAAACTGTCAGTTAGTTAGTTCTCACTCTCTGGCCTCTCCCACAGCCTCGTCCTCAGGACATCGGAACATGGTTATTAAGTCCTCTCCAGCAACCTTCCCTCGATCCTGCATCCTCCTCAGTGTACTGCTCTTTCTCCTTTCTATGAATATTAAGATATTTTTGAAAGATTAGAAGAGTAATCTACATCTGTTACCTTTAACTGGATGCTAAGGAGGTAGGTGTGTGTATGCCAAGGTAATGATGCCGGGGGAACAGTGTTAAATATTTTGGAAAAAAAAAAATGTAGCCTAGGATAGCCACCATAGAAAACAGGAATAAGAATCAAGAGTTGCTGGGGCCAGTGCCATGGCACAGCAGGTTAAGCCACTGCCTGCACCAGCATCTCATATGAGCGCTGTTTTGAGTCCCAGCTGCTGCACTTCCAATCCAGCTTCCTGCTGATGCACCTGGGAAGGCCTCAGAAGATGGCCCAAATGCCTAGGCCTCTGCCACCCAAGTGGCAGACTCCTGAGCTTCTGTCTTCAGCCTGGCCCAGCCCTGGCTGCTGCAGCCATTTGGGGAGTGAACCAATGGAAGGAAGACCTCTGTTTCACTCTCTCTCCATAAATCTACCTTTCAAATAAATAAATAAATCTTATAAAAAATGAATCAAGAGTTGTAATCATCTATGCGTGTTGAACCCCTATGGGACTAATGAAAGCTATGCAGCCTCTCCCCTGACAAATGCACACAATCTGCCATGTTTCCATGTGATTTCCAGAGGTTCACAGGAAACCTAACCATCAAGCAGGCTAATGTCTCTGTATCCAATACTAAACTATGAAGCAGCTTTGAGCAAACCCATGAAAGAACTCTAAAGTCACACAGACTCCTAAAAAGTCATGCAATGCCCTTAAACACGTGTGAAGAAACACACAATGCTATTCAGATCATACTGTTTCCACAGTGAAATGTAACTCCAGGCATTTGAAAACAGACTAGGTATCAGACTGTATTGAGGGCTTATGATTGTTAGGTCTTGATAAAGGTATTAATAGCTATACACAGAAAAATATCCTTAGTTTTTAAAGATACATATGAAAGGATTTAGGGGTGAAATGTCATGATGTCTACAATGTCATTTTCACTTTGGAAGATAAGAATCTGAAAGGGAGTTAACAAAAGAATCTAAGAATAAAATTGACGTATCTAAGGAAAGGTGTCCACCTGTTTGGGTCAACAACTTCTTTTTAGTTGTAAGTTACTCAAAATTAAAAATAAGGGATAACAGAGTGGGATCCAAGAGGAAAAAAAAATCAATGAGGGTAAGCATTATCTGTTTCTTTTATTTAAGGAAAACTCAATATATAACAACATATCCTAGAATGCTAAAATCACTACCAATAGTTAGGTATCAAAATGAGTCAGGTATTTTCAGTGGGAGGTGGCAAATGAATTATTCTGGCTTCAAATTACAGAGAATGAAGGATTTTGGGTCCTCATCTGAACCAAACTGGCTACCTTGGCACCACATTACAGTGGCATGACTGGTTGCATTACACATTCTAATCCTACAGGATTAGTCCTAAATTCCACTGTATTCCAATATGGAAGTTACCTGCTAGTGAACACCTGAAATATGGCATATTCAGAATGAGAACTGTATTTCAGAAAATTAAAGAATGTTAAGATGTCACATTAATTTTTACTTTCTGCTACATTTCAAAATGATTGACAGTACTTCAAAATGTTAGTAGAAAACTGAATTAAAAGGTAAGTCTACAGGGCAGGCATTTGGTACAGTAGTTAAGATACTGCTTGGGAAGCTCATGTTCCATACTGGAGTACCTGGATCAATTCCCAGCTCCACTTCCATTTCCAGCTTCCTGCTAATGTGCAACCTGGGAAGCAGCCAAGTGATGGCTTGTCTTCCACATGGGAGACATTGATTAAGTTCCTGGCTTCAGTCTCGCTGTCCTGGCTGTTGTAGGCATGTGAAGGGTGAACCAGTGGATGGAAGATTCCTCTCTCTCAAATAAATAAAAAGACAAGTTTATTTTGGTGCAAAAAATTTTTGAAATCTAAGCATAGAAGAGTGCTTCAGAATGTTCATGGAAAATGCGCATTATTAAAAAAAAACTAAGCATGGATTTTAAAATTTCTCTGCACCAAAATAATATTTCCATTTTTGAAGTATCTTTATATTTTTGATAGATTTAATTAATATACTATTAAAATTGTTTTTAAAAAATTTATTTACAATGACTACTGAAAAAATTAAAATGACATATAAGTTCACATTGTATTTCTACTGACCAGAACTAGCATCTAAGTCATTCACGAGAATCTCATTTACCTTGCCTATAGTTGGTTCAGGAACAGCCCTACGACCCAATCCTTACACACAAGAAACAGATGCAGGAAGACAGAGGAAGAATGTTCTCTTCTTTGGACAATTATGTGCCTGAGTGTAGAACAGGAGATTAACTGCTACTGTGCTCATGATCCACACAAAAGAATGAAGAAACAGAGCAAGACAGTCAAGCTCTGAACTTGAAGCCGGCTCCCCACTAGATCTCTCAAATACAGGACCTAACAGATGTCTTTACTGCTTAATTCATTTTTAGTTAATTTGCAGGTTTACAAAGAAAACATGCACATTTCTCTATTATTCTTTTCATTATTCAACATGCTTCCAATCACCTAAAAACTTGTCTTACTAATTCGCACCCACTTAAATCCTAAAAGTTTAGGCAGCATTTTCTGTGAAACCTGGCCATTAGGACCACTTCTGTTTTTTCTTTCTTTTCCCTCCCTCCCTCCTTTTCTTTCCTTTCCTCCCTTTCCCCTTCCTTCTCCCCCCCTTCCTCCCTTTTTTAAAGATTTATTTATTTATCTATTTGAAAGGTAGAGTGACAGAGAGGCAGAAAGATCCTTCATCTGCTAGTTCATTCCCAAAACGGCTGCAATGGCAAAGGCTGGGCTAAGTCACAACCAGGAGCACGGAACTCCATCTGGGTCTCCCATGTGAGTGGAAGGGACATCAGCACTTGGGCCATTATCCAGTGTTTCTCAGGTACATTAGGAGAGCACTAGGTTAGAAGTGGAGAAGCTGGGACTTGAACTGGAGCTCCAATATGGGATGCCGGCATCTCAAGAGACAATTTAACCTGCTGTGCCACAGTGCTGGCCCCTATCACTGGTTTCATACAATGTAAACATTCAAATATACTAGCTTATTCTCAGATTTTCCTACATTTACATAATTTTTATCTTTTCAACAAAACTGGACATCTCCTAAAGGTTATTAGATATATTCTTAAGTCTGGGTTCAAATTCTCAGTGTCATCTTACTGGAGATGTATTCTCTTAAGCAAGGGACTCAATACTGTGAGCTTGAGTTCCCTCATCTGTGAGGTGTACAGTGTAGGTAACACCCCAAACTCATCAAGTATTTCACTGAAAGCATTGTCTTAATGATGAAGTACTTTATCATGGTGTATTTTATCCTACGTATAGCCCATCAGGATACTAAGTGGAGGTCCAAATAAGAACAGCCTAAGCAATAAATCCTTGACATGTGTTTCTCTAGAGTGGTTCCTGAACAAATCCCCTAATAAATTAGAATCTAGCACTAAACTCAACTCATGCTTGAACAAAGTAGGCAGTAAGAAAACAGGGTCAGTAGAACTCAGTTGTGATGTGTGAAGTATCTCCTCTATACTGTTACCCACATGTGACTCAACAGAACAGGCTCCCCCAGTGCTATTCAGTGTGTGAAGAGCAAGGTATATCCCCCTAGAGTTTAAGAGTTCCCAAACTTACTAGTAGATTCATAGGGACTATGAACATTTTCCAAGTGACACTGGAGCTGGAAGGGAGTGGAAAACTGGCGGTAACAGTGTTGGCAGATAGTATGACCATCTACCTCACCATTCTGCTGATCAAGTTCTACGTGATGTTTCATATGGTTCATGAATCTGTAGCACAGCACAAAGTACAGAAAACATAAAAAATCAGTATCCTTTGATAAATATATGGTAGCATCACAGAACAAACATTGCCTGCTCCCTGGTACCCCACAAACTTCTCGTTTGTGACAGTCCTTTTTGGAGCCCAGAAAGACAACGGGTTCCTGAAACTAAGAAAACACTATGGAAGGAAATGCATTGGCCTCCTTTACTCTATCTGAAGTTAACTTTTATTACAATGTCTCCTTCTATAGAACTAGTTACCGTTTTATAACAATTCCCAGCAAGACAGCCTAACTGTTGGGATCATTCTTCAAATTCAAGGACTTAACATAAAAGAAAATTAAAGTCTTCTCTTGTCCAAGGCGACCTCCCAGGCTCTTCAACACTTACCGAATGTTGTTCTTCAGCCTCTTGGTACAGTGTGGGCATCGGAAAGATGTGGCGACCTTAGGGAAGTTCGTGAGCTGGGCTACTTTGCCACCGTCCCGTCCATAATAAAAGTCATCTACCAGCATAATGAGCTTGGTCTGCACAGCATCCCCCACATTCTCATTTGGCTCTGGTACTTTCGTAGGTGGTGACAAAGCAGGAATAGGTGTAGAAGAGGGTGTGGAAGCAACAGGAGCTGTTTTCTCAGGGGACGGTGGCTTTGTTGCTGATGCGACACTGGGTTCAGGATCCAGGGACTTTCCTTTCTTCTGATACTCAACCATTTCTGGGCAACAGTACTATAAAGAAGGAAGATATGGAATCATTATCCTGAGAGCCAGGGTGTGTTAACTCCTTCATTTCAATAACATTCCTTGGTAATATTTTAGTTCTAGGTATTGTCAGCCGGCTTTCATGCCTCAGTTTTCTACAGGGTTTACAGTGTATATTTACCCCTGCCTGTCTTATATCTCTTAACCACTCACATAATTTGGCCCCAAGCTCTCTGGTAGACGGTTCTGGTTATTTAACAAACCTGTTCTCCTATGCTAAGAAAGTAAGGTCACATATGTTCTACTGAAGGGTCTTTAAATATTTCCTGTCACATTCCAAAGTATGCAGCTCTTTTAGAACAGAGCAAGAGAAAGACAAACTTCCAAAAGCTTCTGGGTCATTCAGAGCCCCTGCTTCCTAGGCTCCCCACGTGAAGGAGGAGGTCTATGACGTGGCAGCCACTTAGGCGGGACCCCATCACAGGCAGGATGACTTACACACATGTGACCTCGCAAAGCTTCAGTGACACGGAATTGAGCGTTACACCGTGGACAAATTTTCCGTCCACCATCCTGGAGGTCAAATACTGGGATGGAAGAGGCCACTGCAAGAAGTAAGAATTGATAAGATTAATGTGACAATACTGGCAAGAACATACATACTCCCTGACAAGTATGCACTAGGTAAGGAAGCATGAGATCACCACGCTCGAAGCACACTCCTTCTACTCTTCTAATTCTAGGCTGGGAGTCGGCCAGCTGTAGCCTGTATATCAAAGGCAAGGCAGTCACCAGTTTCTGTTTGGCCTGTGAGGAAAGACTGACTTTTACATTATTTTTCTGGTTAGGAAGGATTTTTTTTTTAATAAATGGGGTCATACAGTATCTGTCCTAAGACTGGCTGGCTTATTCCACTCAGCACAATGTCCTCAAGACTCACCAGTGCTGTAGTCTATGTCAGAATTTCCTTCCTCTCCACTGTTGAGGAACGGTTTTTTGTTTTGTTTTTGGTTATTTTTACTCTGCAAATTGTTGAACTCTTTACTCAGTAGAGTTGGTCTTCCATGTATAAAGTTAATTGAAAATCAATTTTAGTGGAGAAGGGGACGGGCAATGGGAGAGGGAAGAGGTGGAGGGGTGGGAGAGTGGGTAAGGTGGGAAAAATCACTACATTCCTAAAGCTGTACTTAAGAAATGCATGAAGTCTGTATTCCTTAAATAAAAGGTTTCTTTGGGGGGAAAAAGAAAGAAAGAGAGGGAGAGAGAGAGGAAGGGAGGGGAGAGAGAGAGGGAGGGAGGAAGGGAGAAAGGGGGAAGAAAGAGAGAAAGAGGGAGAGAGGGAGAGAGGGGGGAGGAAGGAAGGAAGGAAGGAAGGAAGGAAGGAAGGAAGGAAGGAAGGAAGGAAGGAAGGATGGATTTCCTTCCTTCTGGAACCTAGTGTGTCACTGGATGTCTGGGTCACATTTTGCTTATCTGTTCAATCAGCAGGTACCTGGATTGTTTTCACTTTTCAGCTGTTGTAAATAATGCTATGAACATGAGTGTACTAGCATCTGTTCTAATTCCTCTTTTTTTTTTTAAGATTTATGCATTTGTTTATAAGTCAGAATTAGAGAGAGGAAAAAGTGTGCGCGTGTGCGCACGCACACACACACACACAGAGAGAGAAAGAGAAAGAGAGGAAATTCTATCTGCTAGTTCACTCCCCAAATGACGATGACAGCTAGGGCTGGGAGAGGCTGAAGCCAGGAGCCATGGGCTTCCTCTGGGTCTCCCACTTAGGTGGCAGGGGCCCAAACACTTGGGCCATCTTCTGTAGCCTTCCCAGGTACATTAGCAGGGAGCTGGATTGGAAGTTGAGCAGCCGGGACGTGAAATGGCATCCTTATGGGATGCCAGCATTGCAGATGGTAGCTTAACCTCCTGTACCACAGTGCCAGCCCATAGTCCTTCCTTTCAATCCTTTTGGGGATATACCCAGAGGTGGAATTCCCAGTGCATATGATAACTGTACCTTTATTTTTTGAAGAACCACCACACTGTTTTCCATGGTAGCTGCATCATTTATATTCCCCCAACAGTGTGGAAAGGTTCTACGTTCTCGACATCCTCACCAGCATTTTTGATTTTCTGTTTTTTTTTTTTTTTTTTTTTTATGGTAGTTATGCTAATAAGTTATTTCACTGTAGTTTGGATTTGCATTTCTCTAATGATAGTGATGCTGAGATTTTTAAATATGCTTATGGCCATTTTATACTTTTCTATGGAGAAATGTCTATTCAAGTCTTCTGTCCACTAAAAAAAATTTGTGAGGCAGAATAGACAGAGATAGACAAATGAACAGATATTCTCCCATCCGCTGGTTCACTGCCCAAATGCTCATAATGGCTGGGACCTGGCCAGGCTGAAGGTGGGAGCAAGGAACCTAAACCCAATCCAATCTCCCATGTGGGTGGCAGGAACTCAATTTCTTGAGCTATCACCACCACCTCCCAGGGTCTACAATAGCAGGAAGCTGGAGTCAGAACCCAGGTATTGATATGGCACAGGTATCTGCCCTAGCATCTTGGCCATAAAGTTAAAACACCTGCTCTTTTGCCTATTTTTAAAAAAGATTTAATTAATTAATTAATTAATTAATTTTATTTGAAAGGCAGAGTTACAGAGAGGCAGAGGGAGACAGCCAGGAGCCAGGAGCTTCTTCCTGGTCTTCCACACAGGTGCAGGGACCTAAGGACTTGGACCATCTTCTACTGCTTTCCTAGGCAATAGCAGAGAGCTGGAGCGGAAGTGGAGCAGCCAGGTTTTGAATCAGCACCTATATGGGATGCTGGCATGGCAGGCGGTGGCTTTACCTGCTAGGCCACAGCGTTAGCCTCTTGCCCATTTTTTAATTGCCAGTTTACTTGAGTTGTAGGAGTACTGCATTTTTCTAGATATTAACCACTTACATATATATAATTAGCAAATATTTTCTCCCATTCTGTGGGTTGTCTTTTCAATGTGTTGGTAACAGTACTTTGCTGCACAAAAGTCTTAAATTTTGATGTAATACATTTATCCTTTTTTTTCCCTTTTCTTGCCTGTTTTTAGAGTCATCTCCAAGAAAGATAAACATTGTCAAATTCAGTACCACGATGATTTTCTCACTTATTTTCTCCTAAGAGTTTTACAGTTTTTCTTGAATTTTTAAATCTTGATCCAATCCAATTTGAGTTAATTTTTGTATTTGGTATAAGGTATGGGCCTAATTTCATTATCTGAAAAATTAATATCCAGTTTTCCCAGCACTGTTGGTTAAAGGTTTCCATGTTTTTAAATAGCTGAAATAAAAGCAAAAGAATAACATTTTCTGGGGCCGTTGCTGTGGCTCACTTGGTTGATCCTCCGCCAGTGGCACCGGCATCCCATATGTGTGCCGGGTTCTGGTCCCGGTTGCTCCTCTTCCAGTCCAGCTCTCTGCTGTGGCCCGGGAGGGCAGTGGAGGATGGCCCAAGTGCTTGGGCTCCTGCACCCGCATGAGAGACCAGGAGAAAGCGCCTGGCTCCTGGCTTTGGGTCAGCGTAGCTCCGGCCGTAGTGGCCATTTGGGGGGGGGTGAACCAATGGAAGGAAGACCTTTCTCTCTGTCTGTCTCTCTCACTGTCTAACTCTATCTGTCAAAAATAAATAAATAAATAAATAAATAAAAGAATAAAATTTTCTGACACAGAAAATTACATGAAACTGAAATTTCAGAGACCCTGAGTATTCTCAGTGGAGCACACAGCCATATTCACTAATTTATGGGTCATCTGTGGCTGCTTCTATACTACATGGCACAGATGAACAGCTGCAACAGAGCTCAGATGATGCACAAAGTCTAAAATATGCTGGGCCCTTGACAAAAAGTTTGTCAACTGCTGCTCTAGACCACTGAAAACCCTCACTATGCTCATACCCTCCTACTGAAACCCTCTATCCACAGGGCCAGGGCTGTGGTATAGAAGGTTAAGCTTCTACCCGCAGTGCCAGGATACAATACAGACACTGGTTCAAGTTCCAGTTGCTTCACTTTTTTTTTTTTTTTTTTTTTTGACAGGCAGAGTGGACAGTGAGAGAGAGAGAGAGAGAGAAAGGTCTTCCTTTGCCGTTGGTTCACCCTCCAATGGCCGCCGCGGCCAGTGCGCTGCGGCCAGCGCACCGCGCTGATCCGGTGGCAGGAGCCAGGAGCCAGGTGCTTTTCCTGGTCTCCCATGGGGTGCAGGGCCCAAGCACCTGGGCCATCCTCCACTGCACTCCCTGGCCACAGCAGAGGGCTGGCCTGGAAGAGGGGCAACCGGGACAGAATCCGGCGCCCCAACCGGGACTAGAACCTGGTGTGCCGGCACCGCTAGGTGGAGGATTAGCCTAGTGAGCCGCGGCGCCGGCCGCTGCTTCACTTCTGATCCAGCTCCCTGCTTATGTGCCTGGTGAGCAGTGGAAGATGGTCCAAGTGTCTGGGCCCCTGCCCCATGTGGGAGACCTGGAAGAAGCTCCCGGCTCCTGGCTTCGGATCAGCCCAGTTTCGGCCGTTGCGGCCATTTGGGGAGTGAACCAGCAGATGCAAGAGCTCTCTCTCTGTAACTGTCTTTCAAATAAATGAATACATCTTAAAACAAACAAAAACCTCTATCCAAATCCCAACTTTAAAATCTTGTTCAGAAAACTATTTCTTCCATGAAGCCACCTTTGATTATTCCAACCATCTCTGATCAGTCAATCCATTTCACCAATCCATACATAGAATTCCTTGGAGCTGTTTTGGTTACACTTTTCACAACTGGCTGTACTCTTCACTACATTAGTATCTGTGAAAACAGACTGCAGCAACTATGTTCTTTTTTATTTCCCTCAGAGTATAAAATAAATACTTTATTAAAATTTTTCAATGACTGCTGCTCAGAGGTTCTCAGCCTACTGTACCTTTCATTGAAGACTCAGGTCCGCTGGTTCTTTGAGAGCTGTGGGCAGAGCTGTTGTTGGATACTACTGCTGGCCCAGGGCTCTGGCCCAGGGAAGGGATGGTGTTAAGGGTATTCACCAATTTGGCCACTTCATTGCTATTTTCACCTGTCACCCCAGGTCGCTTCACAGTGACAAAGCTGGCAATGCTCACTGCAGGTGGAGAGGGGAAGGAGGGAGCTACATTGACCAGGTGATCATCTGCTCTCCACCCGCCACCTCACCCCAGCTCTGCCACTGTCTTCCCAAGCCTTACCTAGTTTGGGATTTGAGGTCTGGTTGGACTGGCCTGGAGGCTGAACAGCTAGTTGTCCCAGTGAGGTCGGCTGTGTGGCAGTGGGAGTGGTGGAAGTGCTGGGTGTAGACTTGGTCTGCTGGGCCTGGGACTGTGGGACGGTGCTCCTAATGGTCAGAGTGGCTGGGATGACGGTGGTGAAAGTGTTGGTGGTGGGCCTCACTGGCATTGCGGAGCCTGGTCTCACTGGGGTCATCTGAGAGAACACCTGGGGAACTCCAACTGTCGGCTTAACAAACTGGGTGCCTGGGGCTTCAAAAGAGAGACAAAGAAGAGACAAATACTGATCAGTAAGCTCACCTACAACAAATGCTCCCTGCCTTGACTGGAAATACTAAGACAGGGAAAGATTATTTCCCCAAACTGACTGACAACTGTCAGGTTACTAGGAGTAGCACAGATTCTAAAGTCTAAAAATACAGGTGTCCACATTGGTGAAATACATTCCCCTAACAGAAATTAGGTAACCTAAAACCATTAAATCGAGTAAGATTCCCGTCAAGTCCCCCCTACCCAAACACCTTACCACACTGCCTTAAACACAATCAGTAGCTTCAGAGCAGTACTGCAGAACAAAGGGTGGGAGACAGTATGGGTGCATATAAGCCAAAGGGCAGACTTGATCCTGAAAAAAGGGATGCTTCTTTCTCAGAACACTGAAAAAGTCCTTCTCTCTCATACATACACTCACAGAAGACAGACTGTGCCATTCCAGTAGACTGTCCCAAAGGAGAACATCTCTGGAGACAATTCCACTGAGAAATATTTAAGAAATATCAGAACATGATAGGCTAAGCTGCTTAGACTGAAGGCCAAAAAAACAACCCTGCAGGTTCTGAGAAAACACTCAAATATTTCACAAGATAAGCTACAGATATACCTTTACAAGCAACTAATTTTTTTTTGGCCTAAATTACAGTAAACTTACACACAAGAAATGTGTGGAGGAATTTTGTAAGATTTTTAAAAATCCAATCTTTAGATTCCTAAAATTCTATCTAGTCACTGGTAGTATTATTCAAAGGGTATATATTCCATTTATTAATATCTAAAATTTGTGTATAAAATTAAAGCAAAATAAAGTTTATAATCTCACCAGGTGAGCAGATGTCTGAGGAGTACAGAATTTGGTAGTTTGTATTGATAATTTTCCTTCAGGATAAACGTAATAGCTGACTGAAACAGCAGTTACTGAAGATGACTAGATAACCCATTTTAGTGCCTCATGAAGGGTGGTGAAAAGCTAAACAGAAAAATAAATAAAGCTACCACCCTGGCCAAAGGTTAGAAACTTTTTTTAATTTTGGCTTAAATCATTAAGATTGTTATTTTTTTCAGTACATTTTTAAGTGACCTAGAATATTTCCAACAATAAAAGCAAATCTGGATGCCAGTTTATTCCAAGTGGAGAGACATTTTTCCTTACCTGGGACTAGTGTAATTGGTCTAACCGTTTGGCCTTGCTGTACGTTCAGCACAATCCCAACCTGATTCATTGCATTTTGTACAGGCCGGACATTCCTTACAGGAAATCCCTGTATTAAAAAGCAAAATGATCTTTAATATGGAGTCCACTAACACTAGCAAAGACTGCAGTATGACCTGTATCCAAAAAAATTTTCACACTTTTAACCTAACGGTTCTCTCTAGAGTTAAGAGCTTCTAAATGATTGAGATGTAGAAATTTAGGAGATTTGGCAAATTTTTGAGTGACAAAATACCAAAACTGGAGCTTTGGCACGTAAGAGCAAAAAATGTAAACCTATTTCCTGATTTAAGAGAGCTGCAGCTGAAAAAAACGTAACCACAAAATGGCCTCCAAACTGTTAAAAAGCATAAAAGGAAAAATACTAGGAGTATTCATCAGTATGAGTCAACATAAGCAATCCTAAGAAACTGTTACCAAAGTCAGCCTCAAGCCCATAAATCTCTGGCAAGTTTATGAAAAGGGTAAACTCAGGAAGCCCCAGGAAAAATACTCACCTTTAGATTCCATACTCAGCATCAGGATTTTAACTTCAAATCACCACATTATATATCACATAAATCATCCTCCTCCTCTTCCAGAGATCTCCATCATGTTCCCAATTTCATAGACAGACCTCCAAAAGTCAATTAACTCACCCCACGGGAAGAAAAGCAACCCCAAGGCAAAGGGTGAATCGTTTTAGAGCCACGTGTGAAGGCTTCCTAATCCAAGTTTTCCCATTAATTTCTGTCCAGACCTTCATTCAATCATTTAAAAGACCTCTAAGGGGATATGGAGGAGCCAATAACACAGCCACGAAGCTATGCTAGGCTTTCTACAAAGATCAGTATCCGATTACCACACAGCCAATGAGAAAGCTGGTCAAAGGACAAGTCTCAGGAACCCGAAGCAAGGCAGTCTTTCCCTGCTCTACCAATCCCAGAACTCAGTTTAACTCACCTGTGTAGTGATGAATATTGGTTGCGAAGCCACGGGGGAACTAGTCACATGATTGGCATTCTGCATGACCTGAACTGGCCTCAACACTGGCTGAGTAACCATTGTGCCCAGGCCTGGGGCTGGATTCTGGGTCAGAATGAGCGGCTGTCCACCTTGCTGGACCAAAGGATTGCCAGCTGAAGAGTAAAAGGGAGAAGCAGGGGAGAAAGCAATGTTACAAACAATGCGAAGCCCACATTTTATAAACATTCTGGTCTTAGAAAGGCAATAGTATCCCACATATCAAATAGTCAAGACAGTCACTCACCTCTGGTTTAATGTCACCAAACTCACCAGAAATTTAAGCTTCACCCAAATCTACAACTGACAGAAAAAGAGGTGGGTAGGGAAGAGTCACTAATATCCCACCTATATGTCTTAAGTAGGGCCGAAAGACATCTTTAGATTTCTACGTGGCTATTACCTTGATTAAGAAAATTTAAGTGGCCACACGGTCTTCACACCAAATCGGTGGAATAAAAGAATACGTAAGTCTTTTTCATATTTTAGCTAAGTAAAACTATTTGGTCAAAATCTAACTTGTTGTTAGCTAATCTCTCTTAATCTTCCTGAAAAAGCAATGTTCACCAGCAAAACATTAACTAAGCAAGTATACAGAATCTAAAGAAAGACATCTCTTCCTAGCGAGTCAAGTCTGAGAAAGGTGGGAGTCTCTAAACAGCCACTGTCCTTTAGAGGGGTGTGAATGCAGACAATTAACAGGCTTCTCTCTCTCTCTCTGTCTCATGTCATCAGGGCTGAAAATAGAAGTCAGACTTGGTCAAACATTAACCCACACTAAATGAAAATGATACTTCAGAAGATAATGATTTCTTCATAAATAAGTATTAATAAATATCATTAGGTTAAAAAATCATTAATACTAAGCTTGATTTACAAATACTTAAAACTGGATAGAAAATTTCAGAGAACCAATCAATATACTTAAGCCAAAGATTCAAGTAAAATATTGCCTCAACTTTTCACCCCAAATCATCAGAATGGAATGGGTCCTTTGAACTTTATGTTCCACTTGACAGATGTAGTCAGTGTTACTACAGAGATGACCAAAGAGTGGGTACACAGGTAGATATCAACAGGCCAACAATGACTTGTCCCAAACTCTCCTACAAATTAAGAGCTCATTAGTACACGAGACCTTCAGTTACTGGGCCAGCAGACTGGTGATTACAGAGGCTGACAGATACACACACACAAACTAGCAGGTTTTACCTATGCTCACTATCCTGGTAATTTATTCACTATATATTTTTTAAAATTTAAATGTTTTATTGTGGAGAAGTTCAAGCACAAATAAAAATATAATAAATCCTCACATTAGATCACCCAGCTTCAATAATTATTAATTAATGGTCAATCATATTTCATCTATACTGCCTACACTCAAAATTTCCCATATTATTTTGAATCAAGTCCCAGATCATATCTGTAAACATTTCAGTATGTATCTTTATAAGGTAGGGACTGACAAAAAGGAGAAAGAATCACATCACCATTATTACTGCTAAACTTTTGTAGTAATTCTTCAATATCAAATACCCAGTTAGAATTCAAATATATAACTGTCTATATTTTTTAAAAACATCTGAATCAGGTTACAAAATTACTGAAAAGTTCAAGTGATAGATATATTTCTTATGCCTCTTTATCTATGGGTTCCCTATCCATCTCTTATTATCCTTCTGAAATTTATGGTTGAAAAATACAGGTCAAGAAAAAATACATATTTTTAAATCATTATTTTAACTGCTAGGGCAAAAGGAAATAATCTCTTATTTATTATTTGCCTTAAGCCTTAAACTCTCAGATAAGCACTGGCTCAGTTTCCCAATTAAATAAGGGAGGGAAGGATAATTTTTTTAAAAAACTCATGTGGAAGTAATTAGCAAGTCTATAAAGACAGGCAAAGTTCCCATGAAAACTGTAATATAGCATTTTCTGTTAATATTCTCTCTTACATCAGGGTCATGTTTCAATTTGGGTGGATTGTTAGGACTTTCCCAAACATACAGTGCAAATAAAATATGAATTTCTAAATCTAGATTATATCCACAATTCAATGGAAAGTAAGTATCAGCATATGGCAAGACACACCGGGTAAATGAAAGTATGTTTATTTATCTAGGGGCATTTTTATTTATTTTAGAAGCATTTTAAATGATTTCTGTCATCTTAATTTTTGTTCAAAGAGTATCTAACCATTCAAGTATCTTACACAGATTTCCGGAGGAGAAAAAGAAGCAGCGTTCTAGGGCTTAACAACAAAGAGCCTTTAGAAGAATTAGACAGTTTTCTACCTCCAAGTTTACTCTCAAATAAACTAGGGACCACAACCATACACTCATGAAATAAGGGAGGAATATCAGCAGCTTCTCTCATAATACATTGTAAATATCCCAAAATTTTACTCCAGACACTTAAAATCCTCCAAACCCTAGCTTTATTGGGATATAATCTACGTATTATGCATTTAAGTACACAACTCAGTGGATTTTGGTATATTCACAGGTTATGCAACTATCATCCCTATTTAATTCCAGAATATTTTTATCATCTCAAAAAGAAACTCCATATCCATTAGCAATTATTCCTCATTTTCTTCTTCCCAGCCCCTTAGCAACCACTAATCTTTCTATCTCTGTTGATTTGTCTATTTTGGACATTTCATAAAAATGAAATCATACAATGTGACCTTTTGTACCTGGCTTCTGTCACTGGATATGTTTTCAAGGTCCCTCCATGTTATGACCTAAGTCACCATTTCATTCTGTGTTTATTTTTTTTATTTTTTATTTTTTTTGACAGGCAGAGTGGACAGTGAGAGAGACAGAGAGAAAGGTCTTCCTTTGCCATTGGTTCACCCTCCAATGGCCGCCGCAGCCGGCGCACTGCGGCCGGCGCACGGCGCTGATCCGATGGCAGGAGCCAGGTACTTATCCTGGTCTCCCATGGGGTGCAGGGCCCAAGCACTTGGGCCATCCTCCACTGCACTCCCTGGCCACAGCAGAGAGCTGGCCTGGAAGAGGGGCAACCGGGACAGAATCCGGTGCCCCTACTGGGACTAGAACCTGGTGTGCCGGCGCCGCAAGGCAGAGGATTAGCCTAGTGAGCCGCGGCACCGGCCTTGTGTTTTTTTTTTTTTTTTTTTTTAAGATTTATTTATTTATTTGAAAGTCAGAGTTAAACAGAGAGAGAAGGAGAGGCGAGGGTGGGGAGGGGGAGGAGGAAAGGGGGAGGGGGAGAGGGGGAGGGGGAGAGCGAGAGCGAGAGCGAGAGCGAGAGCAAGAGCGAAAGGTCTTCCATCCAATGTTTCACTCCCTAGTTGGCCGCAACGGCCAGAGCTGCGCCTATCTGAAGCCAGGAGCCAGGAGCTTCTGCTGGGTCTCCCACACAGGTGCAGCAGCCCATCTTCTACTGCTTTCCCAGGCCATAGCAGAGAGCTGGATTGGAAGTGGAGCAGCTGGGACTTGAACCGGAGCCCATATGGGATCCCAGCACTGCAGGCAGCGGCTTTACCCTCTACACCACAGCTCCAGCCCCTTATTCTGTTTTATATAATATTCCATTGTATGGATAGGAAACATTTTGCTTATCCATTCACCAATTGGATGATACTCAAGTACTTCCCACTTTTTGACCATAATGAACAATGCTGCTATGAACTTTTTTTTTTTGGACAGGCAGAGTTAGACAGTGAGAGAGAGTCAGAGAGAAAGGTCTTCCTTCTGTTGGTTTACTTCCCAAATGGCTGCTACAGCCGGTGCGCTGTGCCAATCTGAAGCCAAGAGCCAGGTGCTTCCTCCTGGTCTCCCATGCGGGTGCAGGGCCCTAGCACTTGGGCCATCCTCCACTGCCCTCCCGAGCCACAGCAAAGAGCTGGACTGGAAGAGGAGCAACTAGGACAGAATCCGGCGCCCCAACCGGGACTAGAACCCAGTGTGCTGGCACCACAGGCGGAGGATTAGCCAATATTTGTGTGAATGCACAATATTTGTGTGAGAGTTTTCAATTCCTTAGATATACAGTAGGAGTAGAACTGCTGGGTCATACTGGAATGTTTGGATTTGAGTACTACTAATGTACACCCTGGGGGACAGCAAACAATGGGTCATGAGTTTAGGTCCCTGTCATCCACACAGGAGACCCACTGTGTTCCCAATTCCTGACTTCCGCCTAGCCCAGCCCTGGCAATTTTAGGAATTTGGGGGAGTGAACCAGAAGTTGGGAGACCTTGTTTCTCTGCCTTTCAAATTAATCAATTAATTACTTAAAAACTGCTGGGTTATACAGTAATTTTCTGTTTAAATGTGTGAGAAACTGCCAACTGTTTTCCAAAGTGACCACACTGTTTTACCGTCTTACCAGAAATTCACAACAGTTTTCTTACATTCCTAATACATGTTCTTACATTTCTTACATTCCTAATACATGTTCTTGTTCATAACAATAAGATAGCTTTTTAACTTCAGTTATCCTAGTGGTATCTCTGTGTGTGTGTGTGTGTGTGCACGCGTGCATGTGTGTTTGATAGGCAGGCAGTGAAAGGTCCCCATTTGTGCCTCCCATGGCAGAGGCTGCATCAGAGCCATGAACTGGGAACATAATCCAAGTGTTCCACATGAGTGGCAGAGGTTCAATTACTTGAATTACCTGCTGCCTCCCAGGTCTGTGTAGTAGGAAGCTGGAGTTAAAAGCTAGGAATCAAACTCAGGGACTTCAATGTAGGAACACTAGGCCAAATACCTGACATTTTAAATTGACATTTCTCTAAAAACTCATGATTCTACAGGCCATTGTATATCTTCTCTGGAGAAATGCCTTTTATTGGGTCCTTTGTTTAAAATTTTTATTTGTTTGAGAGGCAGACAGAAAAGAGAGGACTCCGTCTGCTGGTTTACTCCCCAAATGCCTGCAACAGGGTGGGTGGTCTGAAGCCAGAAGTCAGTATTTCCATCTAGGTTTCCCACACGGGTGGCAGGACCCCAACTACTTAGCATTGCTGCTACCTCCCTGAATCTACAATAGCAGGAAGCTGGAATGAGGAGCCACAGCCAGCAATCAAACTAGGCACTCAGATATGGGACATGAATATCCTAATTTGGTGTCTTAACTGCTA